AATATAGGGGCCGAAATAATTACCTCTACAATTTTGGGGGTGCCTTATTATATTTATATTATAATGGGCCCGAAACCCTTTTCTCAGTATTAAGGCCCCTACAAATTGGTCCCTTGACGCTCGCAAGCTAGAACGCCTGTATCCCCTGTGCCCTGACCCTTCAATCCATAAGTCTGACCTAAACCCTAAACCGCCTGGCTCCAACTTTGGCAAATAGGCACCTGAACCACCGAAGGCCCACAAACTCCTAAATCCTATCTCTCTCGTTCCGCCCTCTAAACAAACCCTGACTTAGGGTTTACCTGGACCCCAAAGAACCTCTCTTTTTAGGGTTCCTTACCATGATTTCTTTATGTAAGTCCCCAAAGAGGTGGGCTTGGGGTTAAGGTAGGGTTGACACAAGCCCGGAGCAATAAACTCAGCCAAGGATGAACCCCAGCCGGAACCATGTGACCAGCGTGGCGGAGCAAACGGGCGCCAAGGCCACCTTAAAGGCCAGGCCAAGCGTTGTTGCACCTGTCTTATAATTACAGTAAACCCCATAAAATTTGAAACCGGATTAAGGCCAAATAGTGCTGGGATTCCCTATACATTCCTCTTAAGGATTGAGGCTATGGGGTTTCCAACTTTTGGCTTCTACTGGAAGGTCTTATAAGGGTTCAACGGTTTAGGATTTAGGGCTCTTGTGCTTGAGAGTTTAGGGTTTAGGGCAGGGTCTTAAGAGGGTTTACACCTTGCGGCAAGTGTTTCGCTGTTCGGTGGCTGGGATTCAGGTTTAGCAGCCAGAGATAAGGCTGCGCGGGGGTTAGGTTTGGAACGTAGAGTCAAGTGGAATCCCGACAAAGGCAAACATGCTGGTGAGTTACGCTCTGGGCAGGGCGTCGGAAACGGGAGTTGGATCAGGAGAAAAACAGCAGTCATGGAGACTTGAGCAACCAAGATAGAAAAACATTGGTCTGCCAAGGGTGTTCTCAGCATGTTTGCAGTACAAAACCCCAGAGCTCGAGGCGAGATGTCTGTTAACGGAACTACAAATACTTCACTGGATTTTGGCGTTTGGGTGGAAGTGGTGGTGGTGGTCGTCGTGCTGGTCGTCGTCGTCATATTGAGTAGTAGTCGTCGTCGCTGCCGTCGTCATCCGCCGGCAGCGTAGGATTCAGAAAACATAGCACTATTACATGGGTGGTTGTCAAAATTATGGTCCCTGTATGGGCATCCTAAATAATAGGTGCCGTACTATAATAGGGACCCAAAAAAGGGACCCTAATTTTGACAACTACCCATATTAACGAGGGTCAGAGTCCGGGTTCTCGCTTTCGCCGAGTCTGAGCTTTGTCTTTCTTTGTCTTAGCACTGGCCGACTTAGTTCCCATTGAGCTCTTGGGACGCGACATGCTTCCAGGTTCCTGAGTCGTACCCTTCTGCTGTTTCTTTTTTTTTTACGGTCCCCTTGTTGAAACCGAATTGCAGGGCTGCTCAGGAACCTAGGCTTTAAGTATACGGTCCTTTCCAATGGCTGGTGGACATGAACGTTTAGTTCCTGTTAACAAACTATCTCAGCAGGTTGTTGAGGGTTCCGGGCTTGATTGGCCGAATTGAAATCCTAAAGTTCCGATGCAGCCACGAAGGTGAAGCGGGAGGACCACACGAAGATGGAGGAACTTGCCCCTTATTTGCAAGAAATGTAGGATCGCTTTCTCGAGAAAGGCTACCAAAACCCTATACTCCCAACCGTAAACCCACCACCGCCTCGAATCAGACAGCACAAGCACATTTGGCTTTTGGATGACAAGGCAAAAGTTCATTCATAATATGTGTCGAACTCGAATATTGTACCGACTGTCTGCGACTATAAGTGGTTTAAATATGGTCTGTAAGGTGTTCATATATATATATATGTATCTATAAAGATATGCTACCGAGCGTATGTTGGTTTTTGTTGCGTTCCGGTGTGGGGGCCCATCAAGAAATGGACTAACGTTTGGGGTCTCTTCTGGTACAGTCGTAGAGGGACCTATGGGGGCATGCTACTACTAATATTCAGGCCTTCACATCGGGCCAGTGTGCGGCCTGGTCATATGCCCTTCAAGCCCCGGAGGCCCTATAGCGCCCTCAAGGAACTGTAGTACCACAGAGGAATAGAACCCCTATAAAACCCGTTCTAGAATCTTTAAAAGAATCCATAATTCACCAAGACAGAAACCAGAATCCTAGGGTTTTCGGTTTCTAGAGTTTAGGGATTTAGGGCTGAGGTCTATGGTTGTAGGGTGATGGTGTTCTAAGTTTAGGGTTTTGGGGAGTATTTAGGGTTTAGGGTGTTTCTCGTCTTCCGCCTCAATGATCGGAGCTCTTCCTACTGAAGGGTCCTCATGTTGAGGATCTCATTACTTTGGGTTTAGGGCTTAGGGACAGGCATCTGCCATGTCCTGATCCTGACGCACATAACAGTAGGATGCCTCTTAGGGTCTTCTGCGGTTTCAGATCCTTGTAATGGGTCTGTGTACTGAGTCGATCGGAAGGCATAAATCTTCAGCACCGCTGAGCCCTTCGCCCTGAGGTTTTAGGATACCCAGCCGACACCCCCGATGCAACCGCCCAATCCTAGTCACTCTGATCTTAAATCCTCAACGAACCAAACCCTCCAACGCCCTAAATCAGTCCTGAGCCCTAAATCGTAAACCCCCCACACTCTTCTCACAAACTCATTCCTCAAGCATCCAGGAGGGCACAGTACGAAATCCATCTTAGGTCAAGAGCGTGTCCCTCCCGATGCTCAACGCCAAGATGATGAGCACCATGAGCTCCCCCGTCGCATGAACTCAGGGTTCAGGCTTGTCAACTTCAGGATTTAGGGCCTAGGGTTTTTAGATCTAGGGGTGAGAGTTGTAAAACCTCGGCCTTGTTGGATGTCACTGAAGGTCCAGGGTAATGTAGGAACCTGATTAAGAAACCCTGGCCCGATGACCCCAAATAATATTCGGATTCATATAAGGAACCCTGATAAAGACCCAAGGTTTCTTAATCAGGTTCCTATATTAGACAGATCCGACGGCTGGTGCCAAAAGAACCGCTCACGTCGTCGCCGGCTGGAGGGGTTGGGTCCCTAAGCCTTAGGGGTACTTAGAAATAATTTTAAATCTTTGGTTATTATAATCCCTAAGAAGCAACTAAAACTACAATTTTTGCTAGGGTTCTAGGTTCAGTATAGAAGCCTTAAGCCCCAAGAGCCCTCAAAGCCCTGAGAACGCCCAGGCTCACAGGGCCCAAAGAGCCGGCGATCAATCGACTACTGATGGAACAGGGTTTAGGGTTTAGGAGTTACCTTAACCTACCAGAACCTACTTTTTTTGTAGGGTCCCTATAAATCCCTTTTTCGGGTTTACAAAAAAGTGGGGTTTAGTGGGTCCAGGTAGGGTTTACAGGGCTTAAAACCCCAAACCCTAGATCCTTCTAGCCTTCAGCGGGCTTCATATTTTTTGTAAGCGGGTTGTTATGTAAGGGCTCTATGGGCCTTATAAGGCTGTTTGGCAACCGCGAGGAATGATACATTGGGTATGCGTCATGTGAGAGTAGGAGGCCTCCTCGCGAAGCGAGGGTGCCCAAAGCAGTCTCACGAATTTGCCTCAGTGGTTCGGGCGCTTGGAGCCACGATTCAACGTGATAACTTGCATCTACTGGCATAGCACGGGTACAGCGTCCGAAAAACCTATGTAGGGCTTCCAGAGGCTCTATATATATATATATATACACATAGTGAACGTATGGGGTACAGTACTTAACCACGGGCGCAGGGTTAAAGGCTCTGGGTTGAGGCTCGGGAGATTCAAGAGTTGATCCCCCTGATGGGAAATGGCTGACACACGAAGCACCTATAGTAGAAGCCCAAAAGTTGGAAACCCAATAGCCTCATTCAGAGTAATGTATAGGGTATCCCAGCACTTTTTGGCCTTAATCCGGTTTCCAACTTTATGGGGTTTACTGTAGGCCGTGTTGGCACAACCTCAAGCGCACCCCCGCATGTTCCTCAGCTACGAACTGGCCTGCAAAGGCTCGATGTTCCAGGCTTCTGGCCGTTTAAGACCAGGGCACCACAGATACGTCTCTCTTTGAGGGTTTCAGGGTGCAGGGTTCGGGGGTCAATGCTAAACACCAGACTCGCTAGACCTTCAGGATTCGGGGGCTTGGCTTGGGGTCTAGATTTCGGGTTTGGGGCTTTGGGTTTTGTGTTTGTGGTCATCGTCGACAGCCAGTTGCGCTTTGTTTGAGTCGGTCCTGAATGTGAACGAACGGAGACGAAGCAATGCCCGAACCAGTGCTCGCGCCAGCATCTGTGCAAGCACAATGCAGCCAGCGTGAGTAGTGGGTGTTTCCGAAAACAATCAAGTTGGTCGATCCATAACCCTAAACCTTAAACCCTAAACCACAGCCCTGCTTTCCAACAGCTTGGACCCGAATCCGTGAAGCCCTAAAGAGTAGACATTCAGAAACCCCACCTGCAGCGAAGCTAGTGGGAGGACGATCCTAGACCTCCTTGTCGGCGTCTGTGGCATACAAAAAAGGGGTTTAGGGCCTTAGGATTAGGATCTAGGGCAATTGAGGGCTTTAGGGTTGTAGTAAGTCGTATTTTGCGATGGTTGGGGATGAAGTGTGTTGAGTTGACACTACATGAGCATCTGGAAAAAGACGATGTAAAGTTTCGTTGTCTCACATGCAGAGGGTTGGAAGCAACCTGAAGTCGTCTTGTGTCCTACCTCGGGAAGCGCTTCGTCTGAATTGCAGCATTAGCTTCAAGCAGTTGACGGCCCTCAATTCCATGCGAGCACGGGAAATTGCACCAAACAGCAAGCCCCAAAGTCTACTGAAAAGAATACTAGTTTCAATTGGTAGTACATGCTGGTGTTGTTACGAGTATTTCTGATCGTATACACGACATGTTCTTATAATCGTTAGTAACTTCTATGCCTAATTCTGGTACGACCCCCCCTCCCCGCTCGCCCATCATGGCGCGGAAGACGCAGGCCTGGGCACCAACATCTAGTCTTCTGCGTAGGGTTTAACCGGGGAATTATGGTGCCTAAACCCTAAACTTGTCCTAAACCCGCACCTTTTTAGGGCTCCTTCCCATGATTGCCTTGTATAAGTCCTTAAAAAATATATAATCTTGTATAAGTCCTTAAAGAAAAATACATAATTCGGTTTTCTGGAGGCTCCTCGGATCTCCCTTGTGCCTCGACAAAGGGCCCTCTATTAAATCCCACACTTCGCAAATCTTGCAGCCTACACTCTAAACCCCATAAGCCCTCGGCTGAAACCCTAAACTACATCCTGTAAGCGCACACCCCAAGTGACGCACACCTCAGATCATCTTGCCGGGGCTACGTTGGTTTAGGGCTTTGGGATCCAAAAGTCCAAGACTATGAAATAATCAATGTCCCTCAAAACTACCCTGTAGCTACCACTACGCCCTCAACCCTTATAGCCCGACAATTCCGTAAGTCTTCTTCACTTGGAATGCAATGCAGGGGTAGATTGAGCAATCTTCGTCACTCAAAGTTTCGTAAAGCGCCATGGGTTGTTTATCGGGCTTACAAGTGTCTCACGCGGTTCAGCTACATAGTGTTTTCTTCCGACTAGTGTCGATTTTTTGCTACCTACCTAGTTGGACGATGTCTGTTGTTATGAGCCGAAGGCTTCACCTATCCTCAGAGACCTCAGCGCAGCCTCCGCCAATATTTGGGATACTCGACGAGTACTAGAGTTAGAGCCTCACAAGTCTTAAAGCAAATTATGAAAGCGCGCGCCCTAAACCCTGAACCCTAAGCCCAGCCCCAATCCCGACAGCCCGACACAAAGCAGAGGGCACCCAGCTGCTACCTAGACCCCCCAAAAGTAGGTAAAATCATGGTCCAACACCTATAAACGGCTATTATTCCTAAACCCCTAAACCCCTAAACCCTAAACCCTAAACCCTAAACCCTATTATTCTACATGCTTTTGGGGTCCAGGTACCCGCCCTGCTGGCCATCGCCGGCCTGGGTGCGCTGAGCCTGGCCTTCACGGGCAATGCTGCCCCGAGGCGGGTGAAAACAAGGGACCATGGTGTAGACTTCAGGGGTTTAGGGTTTAGGGCACTAAGTCGGATCCATAGTATAGAGTGTAGACTTCAGGGGTTTAGGGTTTAGGGCACTAAGTCGGATCCATAGTATAGAGTATAGACTTCAGGGGTTTAGGGTTTAGAGGTGTAGGGTTAAGGGGTTTAGGGGTTTAGGCTAGGATTTGGTATAGACTTCAGGGTTTAGGGTTTAGAGATGTAGGGTTAAGGGGTTTAGGCTAGGATTTAGTATAGACTTCAGGGATTGGGGTTTAGGTTTCAGGGCACTAAATCGGATCCTGAATATCGGAACCTCCAAACCCTCCCACATAAGGCGGCTGCTTAATCTAGCTCCTTAAACCCTGAATAGTCGGATCCTTATGTAGTCTAGAGGGACCTGAAAATGAACAAGGACCACCACGTAGAAGACACCCTCAAGAGAGTCTGCTGCAAAAAGTTCCTCAATCCTCAGGCGCTCCTGCAATGCTTGAGTCCGAAGTGTATGATGCAGCTTAGAAAGATGTTTGAAGCATACGGCTCCTATGGAGGTCTGACCGAAAACTTCGTTTCAAGTGTGATTGGGACTCTGAAGCCGCAAGAATTCCTAGGAGCCGAGGGCCCCAGTAGTACAGACACGGGCCATGTCATAGGCCAAGTATTTCATAAGAGCAGAGCCTGCTGCAAAGCCCATAGCATTACTAACCATTGATCTTAGGGGTACTTAGAAATATGTTTTTTTTTAAATTTTTGGTTATTATAATCCCGAAGAAACAGCTAAAATTATAAATTTTTGCCAGGGTTCTAAGTTCAGTGTAGTGATATTGGGGGAGCGAGGGAGGGATGTTGATAATCCCTGTTAAATAAGGCTAAAGGGAACCCCCAAAACTCATAGGAGGCCAAAAGAGGTTTTAGCCTATGGGGGTTTAGTAGGGATTAGGGTTTCCATAATAGGGTTCATATTAAGGAATCCCAACCCCAAGAATCTTAAACCCCCCTTTCGGCCTCCCATCAAAAACCACTGGTTAGATTAGATACCCAGAAGAACTGTATACCGGACTCCGACAGCGAGGAAGAGAGCTGTCCGGCGGCAAGGGACTTGTTTGAACCAGACTCACCAGAGGACGTGAAGTTCCCGCCGGGATTTTTCGGCAGTCCGAAGTTCAAGGCTCGGAAGACCAAGGAGCCCAAGGGCAAGCGGTTCCGAGAAAAGGTCGCAAATGATCGTGCAGGAAAGCGACAGCACTTTCGTCGTCGACGGAAGGTGAAACACAACAACTTTGCCAACACGCAGCGTGCCATGAGCGACGGCAGCATCACTGACTTGGACCAGTCCAAGATCCAGAGCAGAGTCGCTTGGCTGACTCTTGGCTGCAAGTGCTAGGCCGGCTGCAGATGTTTGATCGAGTGCAGAAGTCCCATGCACCGCACTGCACAGGAAACCAGAACCACTGAAGAAGCTACCTCCTTAACCCCTGCTAGTCATCGTCAAGGACATTCTCGTGCCCATGCGTTGTTCGCCTATAGCACCGTCATCGTCATGATCCTGGCGATCACCACCGTTAATATGTCGGTCAAGGTTAGTGTCATAGTGCCTACAGCAGGATCAACAGAGCTGCTGACCCTAAAACGCTAAACCCCCCCCAAAAAAAAATCGATATATCCTACATCCCTAAACGCATATGTAGGGCCCGGGTCATCGAGCTCCTTTGTTTGATACTAACCTAAACCCTAAACCAGGCCTTGCTAGATGCCCCTACAACAACACTTCTAATTGGCATGGAATTTGCCATCGAAGTCTAGATCCCTACACCTAAACGCAAAGCGCCTAAACTCCAAATCCATAAACTCTTAATGCCTAAGCCCTAAATGCAAAACCCTTGAACAATAACTCCCTAAACGAAAAACACCCAGACCGTAAACTTCCTCCCCCCCCCAATGCCTGAACCCTAATCGGAAAAATCCCTCAACCTTCAAACCCCTATTAAACTCTAAGCCCTAAACGCAAAAATCCCTAAACCCTAAATCCGGGTGCGCGCTGCAAGGTCAGCCTTGCGTCGCGGCCTCCTGTCCCGGCAGCCCGGCAAGTGTTTTGTTGCGGGTGCTCTAGGGTTTGGGGGCTTTGCCCAAAGGCCCCAAAGTAGTTCCTTTTTGGGGTTCATATTCAGAATTCTATAAGGCAATCCCAAAAAGGAACTACTTTGGGGCCTATGGGTAGGGCTCTGGGGTTTGGGGGCTTCTTAGGGGTACTTAGAAATATTTTTTAATTTTTGGTTATTATAATCCCTAAGAAACAGCTAAAATTGTATTTTTTTGCTACAGGGTTTGCAGGCTCCAGGGTTCCAGGGCTTTAGAGCTCCAGGGTTTAGGGTTTTAGGGGCTTTAGGGGCTAAGGGGGCCTAAGGGGGGGGTGGGGGGTGGACAAAGCTCAAGCTTGATTGTTTTGGGGTCAGCCGCTTTTGAGGGTTTTTCGGAATTTAAGGTCTTCTGGGCCTTTTCATGAGAATAGCAAGGAGCTTTGCGAAGGAAACTCAAGCAGTTTCCTACTATTTGCTTAAGAAACCCCCAAAAAATAAAAATAATAATCCCTATAATACCCCCATAAGGAATATACTTTTTATTTTTTGGGGGTTCTTAAGCAAATAGTAGTTTCTTTGCCGATAATCACAACCACAGCGTTACGCAGCTAAGGTGCATTCTGGGTACCCAACTTGCTCGGGTGATCGTACAGCGGTACTAGTAGACATGCACACTGAAGGGGAATACTGTAGAGATGTCGGAATGCGGACGTTTGGCAACTCTCTGGGTCATACACCTATTGGCATTGCCGTTAGTCTACCCGAGATCGAGTTGAAATTGCTCAGAATACCCATCCAAAATGTATCTTAACCTACCAAAATCCTACTTTATTGTAGGGCCCCTTTAAACTCCATCTTAGGGCTTCTAAGAACAACCTACAAACAAGTAGGGTTTGGTAGTTTAAGGTATCATTATGACTGCAATGCTCATTTTGTCCAGTACGGTACTTTTGATGAGGACTGATGAGGTTCGGCAGTGTCTTGGTCATTGAGCCTTAGCTGAACCCTGAGCCCAGAAGGCCCGAAACGGGATCGGGTGGCAATCCACAATTTTCAGGTTCACAGGGCCAGTTTAACGAGCAAGACTCCCAAGTTTGGTTTAAAGATGTTTGATCCAGGCACCCCTCTACCCGTAGTTGAGCCAAATTTCCCAAACCCTAAAGTCCTAAGCCCTAAAACCCAATTCCATTACGAAACTGTGCTAAGGAATGCGGAGGAAGAGGAGAAACCCACAGGTGCCCCGTTCCGCAGGGTTCGAAGACTTTCGTCTTTTGTTTAGGGTTTAGGATTTGTAGGGCGCTGGGATTCGGTTGCCGTGTTGTTTCCACCACGACCAGGACCAGTCCTGGCGCTTTCATGCCTGATGCTACTACTACTACTACGACGACTACTACCACCACTACTACTACTGCTACTACTACTACTGCTGCTGCTACTGCTGCTACTACTACAGTACTACTACGGCGACGACATGTTTGTATACTACTAGGACAACGACGGCACTCATGAGGACAACCGCGTCTATAGCTGCTGATAAGCTTACGATTGCGCGGTGACGAGAAGTAGCTGGCCGGTACAAGCTTGACAACCGTGAGATTTGCTGGTGTTACCGAGAATTAGGGGTACCTTAATTTAATTTGGGGTCCTTCTAATAAGGACCCAACTATTTAGGTTAATTACTATATTAGGGTCCCCTATTTTCGGAATCTCCCACTTGGTGGTCTTACTGGAGATCCCCCCCTACAGCCTCCAATCCGAATCCCTTAAGGTAGACTCCCTGAAGCCCCTCGTGTTAAAGGCATGAAATAGATCCTATCAGAATCCTGAAAGGAGGGGGTGTTTCATCAAGTCAAGGGTCTACAGTAGCAAGAACATCGGCATGGATACGAGTGCCCTAAACCCTAAACTCTGAACCCTGAACCCTACAGGAAACTCTGGACCCTGAAACCTAAGCCCTGTCTAAACTCGTCTCGTCTGAATCGCGTTCTGGACTCCTTAGGGCGGACGGACACAGGTGTTCAAACAGAAAGACTAAACCCTAAACCTGAACCGTCACGAGTTTCAGGCCATCAAGTCAAGAATGCGGGCTCCTTCCAGACGGACCCGGAGGAGTGTCTGTGCGTCTCGTTCGTGGTGTTGTTCCCGTGGCAGATCCGACCGGTCAGGGTGTCCTCGACCCTAAACTTCAAACCCTGAATCCTACTGGAACTTAAGCTCCTAAGCTTTCAAAGGTAAGCCTGAACCCTATCCTATACACCCTCAACACTAAAAATAGGACCCTGCATGCTACATGGACCCTTAACCAAGGTACTCCTAACATTCAGAAGCCGCCCCCCTTTCACAAAACAGATCCGAACATACATCACTTTATGCTTTACTTTACCTCTTACTCGGAACCGACAGACCCAAGAGCTTGCGTTTAATATATGAAGGTCATATACAGACGGAAAAACATGTTGTCCATATTCATTGGTATAGTTGCATTAGAGTCGTACCCAAACCCTCGGTTACCCAGAGGCCCCATAGCAGTTCCTTTCAGGATTACCCCATAAGATTCTATATACTATGGGGCCTATGAGTAGCCATCCTGAAGGAGCGGAGGAATAAACCGTTCTTGATCGCAGCGACAGTCTGCCTGGTCCGAATCCGGATGAGTCCTTCAACCAAACCATTCTAGGGGTTTAGGTGTTTAGGGTTTATAGGGTTAGGGTTTACGGTCTTAGGGGTTTAGGATTTAGGGTTCTTAACTTTTTGGGCTTCTATATGAACTATAATAATGAAGGTAAAAGTTTAACTTTTTCGAGGGGTTCAGAAGTCAACCGAACCATTGAGACATACACTTTCAAGTATTCAGCCCCAAACCCTAACCCTGAGACTTTGAAGTTCAGGAACCCGTACAAAATCAGGACCCCAGACCCCGTGAAACCTGCATAATATAGGGGCCTTGATAATTCGAATAAGGTTTTTGGGTATATTATGTTGTAAGAGTATAGGTCATTACTTAGGCACCTATATTAGTCAAATCCTACGCTTCGGCCCTGTTTCCTTTCAGGTACAGCGACGCAGGGGCCCCGTAAGATTGCGGTAGGTTCCTGAGTAGTATCCTTTTGCCCTTTTTGGTTTTGGGTTCCCTTACTAAAACCGAACAGAAAGGCAAAAGGTACCCTTGCTATCGAGGGGGCTACTCATCAACCTGGCTGTAGTAGGATCGCCTTGAACCTCAAGCTGGAAAGAGTAGGCTCACTGGGTTTGGTCGAAGAGTTGTTTTTCCATTTCTAATGAACCGAACTTGCCGAAGCCGTAAACCCGAAGCCTTTATTTTTGTAATCATGCGAAGGCGACCCTAAACCCACAAGTCTGTCGAACCAATTTTCTTGTACAGTTGTTTTGAAAAAACGGTCGCCAACCAGCGAGTGTTTAGACCCTAAACCCCAAACCGGGTTTAGGGTTTAGGCTGTAGGGTTCATGGTGAAGCCCAAACCCTAAACCCTAAATCCTAACCCTAACGTAAGCCCTGAACCCTAAACCCTAAGTCCCAAACTTAACCTAAAACCTAAACCCCTCAGAGCTGCAAAACCCTGAAGGGTTGGGGGGTTTACCGTTTCTTTTACAAGGTTCTAGAAGGGGTTTAGGGTTCCTTTAAAAAAGGGATCTATTTGGGTTCCTGTAAAAGGTTCTATAAGGGTTTTAGGGTTCCTTTAGAAAAGGGATCCATAAGGGTTCCTTTAAAAGGTTCTATAAGGGTTTAGGGTTCCTTCAAAAGGGATCTTTAAGGGTTCCTTTGAAAGGTTGTATAAGGGTTAGCGTCTACCCAAGGACCAATACTTATAACAGGCTGTTACAGACTTTTGGGGTCCAGGTAGCGTCTAGGGTTTAGGAAGTTGGTAAGGGTTTATGGGTTTTGGGTTTAGGGTTTAGGGTGTGGGATTGGTTAGAGTTCAGGGAATAAGGGGGAACTACTAGGGTTTTGGGGGTCCTTGGCTTGTCTCGAGGGCTGTAGAATCCTTCAAGCCCACGACAAAGCGACCAGGAGATGGCGTTGCAGCAGAAGGTGCGGGAGCACCAGGCGCGTAGGGCTTTGGGTTTATGGTTTAGGAGGGTTTACCCAAAGGCCCCAAAGTAGTTCCTTTTTGGGAGCACCTTATAGGATTCTAAGTATGAGCCCCAAAAAGGAGCTACTTTGGGGCCTATGGGTAGTGTGAAGCTGCCGCATATCTTAAACCTTAAAGCGTGTTTACTCAGAACTGAAAGAGAAGGGTTGAGAGAGTGTCTAGAGGTGACGGTCGACACAATGCAAAGCCTAATGTAGGGACCTTAATTGGGGGTTCCTTATTACAACTATAGTATAATATATCCCCAAGCCCTATTCTAATTATTAAATCCCCTACATTAGCCTCTTTACGGGGTACGGGAATGGTTTTCGATCGCAAGGCCGATAACCAGGACCTAGAGTAGGCCCTTATTCCCTGTTTTTTAGGGTTCAGGATTCCCTTATAAGCCCCTTGAAACCAAAAAGGGCACCCGTTTAATCCTAGGTTACTCTTGGGTCTACATAATAGAAACCCTGGACAACTAGGGTTTACGGTTTAGGGTTTAAGGTTCCATGGAAAAGTCCCGGGCCGGGCCGGTGAGGAGAATGCCGTCAAGTTGGACGCAGCGACGGAGGTCAGAACTTTGGCCACTGGGACGAAGGCTGTTCCTGAACCCAAGATAACCTACTTTCTTGGGTGTCCCTAGTATTCGTTACATAAATCCTTCTGCGGGGTTTTGTCGGGTTCAGGTTTGACTTCATGTGGCCTGAAGGATTGTCTTCCGCAGTTCTGACACCTGAAAGCCATGAAGCTCTGGACGTCAAGCCGTGAAGTCCCACAGAGATCTAAAAGAGTCCAAGCCCTGAACCCTATGAACCCTAATGCCCTAAGGGTCCATGTACCCATATCGAGACACATGAGCCCCAAAGTACCTATACAGGGACTACATTAAAGGCAATGTATATACTGTATACTATATGAGTACATGGACCCTTAGGGATACCTGGTCCACCAGCTGCCTTCTATTCAGCTAAAAATACCCCCATATAACCCCTATACCCTAAACCCTAAACCCTATATAGTACCCTTAAAGTAACCCTTTAAAGGAACCCTAAGGTGCCCCCGAATTGTCGGAAACTATCACCGGCGCAAGACATCCATGAAGGGTTCCGTACCTCAAGAAGATCGGCCCCCAAGCCCCAAGCCGAAGAGTCGCCTCAAGAACAGTGGCCCGGGCTTGAGAGGTTCTAAATGCCTTGCAGCGAGAGGAAGGGCGGTGTAGTGGCTTCGGGGCTATGGGGCTCACATCCTCAGATGGGAGTTTCCGAAAATAGGGGACCCTCATCTAGTACCCGAAATAGTAGGATCCTTATTATAAGGACCCCAAAATAAGGTACCCCTAATGTCGGACACTCCCAGATTCTGTATAGCTTCAATCCTAAACCCCACATCCCATGCGGCTCACATCCTCAGATTCTGTATAACAACTTAAAACCTGAGCTCCACATCCGATGGCGCTTTGTAAGGGGTTTAGGGTTTAGGGTTTAGGTAATTCCCAGAGGCTCCATATATAGTACCATTACTTGGAGGGTCGGGGGACCTGGTAAGTAGGTAGTAAGTAGACTTGTAAGTACCCTAAAAGGGACCCTAATTGGGGCTATGGTACTTATAAGTCCCTAAAATAACCAGCTACTAAGTCCCCCGACCCTCCAAGTATGGAATTAGGTCCCAAGAGACCATCCATATGATGGCTTTGGAGACCTAGTTCCATAATGGTACTATATATGGAGCCTCTAGCATTGCCAAGGTTCAGTACAACCACGGCTTCGCTGTGATGAGCACCAACAGCCTCTTGGCCAATAGTTACGGGTTCTATAGGGGTCTGTTGAAGGCTGAGTGCCCAATGCTTCCCTCTCTTCAGCCTTGAAGGCTCTATTGGAGCTGAGCTCCACCATGATCGACAGAAGCCAGCAACATTCGTTGATCTTGCACATAGGCAAGAAGTAGCTAGTCCAGAGGACAGCACACCGACAACGTTTGTGTTGTGAGCGCGAAAAGTTAGTGTGAGCCCATGTGTTTCCTCCCTCGCTGTCTGCTTTGAGCCGAAGCGAACCCCGACTACTACATGGCAGCTAACGACACGCAGAATCCCAATTTGGGCGATGAGCCCTACCAAGAACAGGTTATGATACGCCCAAGTGCTACCGCTAGCGCCACGGCTACGCATGAAGATGATCGAGGTGGAAGACCCCTAGTGAATGGGGTCCCGAATCCCCTGAGGGGATCGCAAGACATTGATGGAGAAGTTTTACTGGTGGCCGATGCTTCGAGGGGACCGACTGGAACTGCGAGTGTGCACCGCCAAGCTGGCGACTTAGGACTGGCGACCGAGGAAGTTGCTGGCCCGGGTGCTGGAGCTGGGAGTGGAAGAGAGGGACCTCAAGATCCCCGCAATCCGCGGGCTACTTCTTCCTTCCTGGGTGCAGTAACGGGAGACTTGCAAACAGCGGCCCATACCCCGACGATGACACCGCAACCGGCAGCTTCGACATCTCCACCGGTGAATGTGATCACTGGAATGTTACGGGCGGTGCAGACACTGCCGACGACGGTGGAGAACCTTGTGGCGCGGACGGCATCGGTTCGTTCGGCTTCTGGAACACCGGAGTACCATGATAGCGTGGAGTATGCCTCTGTGCGAACCTCGCCGGATCGACCACCGGCGCCCCCCAGTTGGGACCAGGCGAATGAACCTCCGCTACTGGACCCCCAAGCTTTGCAGCAGATCCAGCAGATGACGGCCAGAGCTCCGTTGCTCTACCCTGCGGCTTCTGTAGAGTACACTGGACACCCGAGTCCTCAAGGCCCACCGTCTACATCCTCGAGTGAGCTGCAGGCCGAAGTTCGGAGGCAGCTTACAGAACTGATGGCAGTTCGTGATGAGGAGAGCCGTAGATTGCGTGCACAGGTAGAAGCTTTAACAATGGAGAATCACAGCCTTAGGCTGAGAACGGAGTTGGAAACCCAACACCTGATGCAACCCTCTAGGAATGTGAATACTAATCCTGCGGGTTTCCCTGGACTTGGGTGGTTTGGTAGAGGTTTGGGATCTCTGATTGGCCAAGTGCGGCCGGACCGCGCCCTGGATTTGGGTGCCCGGTCGGACCCGATACCGCCTCCACCTCCACTTCCTCCTCAACCCTCCTACAATAGCAACCGCCCGCAAGGCTCTCCAAGAGCACTGTTGAACCGCGAGGCAGCTCTGGTTGGAGCACCAGGCCGTGCGTCAGGAGTGCTTCCCTGGGATCAGGCCGCGTATGGTTTAGGCCTTAACCCGCCTGACCCTAATGAACACCCAAGAGACGTTAGAGTTGATGACTTAAGGGGAACCCTCCCTACGACCTTAAGCCCTCCTCCACCGCCAACAGGATTGCCGACCTCCCAGGTTGTAGCAGAACCCTACGGACAACCGTCCCCTAATGCCCAGCCAGGACCTGGACTACCTGACCTAACTCAGCATGTAGTCCCTCCTATGAACCCTCAACCTCCGGTAGAAGCCCCTGCTACTGCGTCTCAGGCGTATGGCACCGAGCGGCTCACTGCGGGCCGAGAAAGGCCACCGGAGGAGAGTTCCGTGCCGGGTCCAAGCGGACCGTCCAAGGATGCTGTTGATCCAATGAGTGTTGTGTTAACGGGGATGGCACAGTTGCAGTCAGTGGTTCAAGAGATGGCTAGCCCTAAGAACTCCCTAAAGCCCGAGGTAATTAAACCTGGAGTAGTAAGCTTGCCGGAGCTTCCGGCCCACGGCCCAGAGGCGTGCCTGAGCTTTGCAGACTGGTTGCATGCGTCACGGCCCGCGCTTGCGGACATTTCAGACACCTCGGAAACCCTGTGGGCGAAAACGGTTGAAGAGGCCCAGGATTGGTATTCCCGATACCTAAGACTGGAGCCCTTAGCCCGACTCACGGCTAAGCCTGTGCCATCTGAGGAGTTATTGCAGCCAAAATGGACCCGAGTGGCCCGCAGGATCGAGACGATGATTCTTGCGGCATCACCGCAGACTATCAAGGACGAGCTGAGTGCTTCCAGAGTCTCGGGGCTTTTGCCTGTGCTATGTCGATTATTTATAATCTACGGGCCTGGCAGCATCACCGAGCGCGAACTAGGGCTCAAAAATATCACCGAACCAGCGGCAGGCGTAGCAATCCAGGACACAATCGAAGGGCTACGCCGCTGGCAGCGGTGGTGTAGCCGCATGTCAGAACTCGGCGGTGTGTTACCTGACAGCTCCCTTCAGGTACGAGCGCTCACTCGTATCACGAGAGCGGTGCTCCACCAGAATCCGGAGGTTGCGTTTCGTGTAAATCTTGCCAGAGCTGAGCTCCAGATTGACTTGACGCCTGATAATGAGAAGGTCCGCAAGCTGCATGCGCAGTTGTTAGGGGAACTAGAGGCTATGACTCATAGAGGGGACAGGGATAAGGGTAACCGGGATGTTCCGACCAACCCACCTGCCCCGAAGATCAAGGGTGTAGAAGCACCTACCCCGGCGCCTCCTCCCCCCAAAGGACCTAAGCCTCCTAAGGGAACCCCTAAGGCCACTGGTGTTCCAAAGCAAGCATCGGCTCAGGAAACACCGACCCAGCAAAGGCAGGCTTGCACGTTCTTCTCAGGACCGAATGGGTGCAAGAAGGGTGCCGATTGCACATACGACCACAACTGGGCCGCGTTTTCTCCTGCAGAGAAGGCCGCGAGATGTAAGAATTGTGGGGGCAAGTCTCATAAGGCAGCAGACTGTCGTGCCGGTGCGAGGGTGGATGAGCCAAAGGCTAAGGGTAGGCCTAACAAACCGGGCTCCCAACCGAAGCTTCCTCCTGATGTTCCCGCTCCGCCCGTACCGCCATCTGCTTCTTCATCTGAGACTAGCAATCAACACATAAAGAGCTTGCTTGCTGACGCAGCTTTGATACTCCAACAAACCATGCCTGGAGCCAACCCTCAAGCCACTGACCAGCCGCCCATGACTAATGCTACTCCGATGGCGCCTTCCCCGGCAGCGAACCCTCCTAAGGCTGTTCCTGCTGCGGTGCAGGGTACTCCGGTAACCCTTGCTTCCCTGAGTGCCCAATTGGACCAGTTGAGATCCCTGGCACGTGATCCGGAAGTCAGGACCTGTCAATTGGAATCTGAGGAACTCCCGGTGAGCTGGGAATCTTGTGGACGCAGTCTCCCTGCGGTTTCGCTGGCACAATTGGGGGAGCAGCTTAGGCTTCTTCGGAATTTGGCTGAGCGTCTTGAGGTTAAGGTCTGTAGGGACACGGGTGAAAAGGGATCAGCCTCCGGAGCGTTGTTGGATAGTGGGGCAACGCATGCGGTCATTGCGTACGACTCGAACCTCCGGAACCTTGAAAGGGTGCCAGTCACGTTGGCAGGTGATGCCAAACAGGATTGGTGGAAAACCAGGGGAGGCACCCTGGTAGTCCCCCCCAATCAGGACCAAGGATCAGGCAAACCTGTGCAGACCATCCTCCCTCTTGGAGCCCTTGTCGAGTCTTTAGGCTGTCAGGTGCAATGGACGAAAAGGAAGGGTTTGAGAGTTACCCACCCCACGCTAGGAGTTTTGGCCACGGGAATTTCCTCGAACACGTGTCCCTATGTGCAAGAGGAACAGGCTCTTAAACTAATAGCCGAGCTTGAGTCGCAAAGGTTGGAAGGTTTTAAGCAGGAGGTCCAGCTTGAGGCTCTTGAAGGCCCGACCGATGCCACGGAAACGTTGCGCTCGTTTGCCCGTACTGGCTGCCGCGGGAATGCTCTGAAGGCAGTCCTCGCCCAACCCTACCTGACCTCCCTGCCGAATGATGTGTTGGTAAACCTGGCTGAAGCAATCCCTACGACCCAGGCTGACTCGGGGAAGTCCCTTCTTAAAACTCTCCCTTTGAAGCGCGCAGCACGCCGAGCACTGTACAACTCGGATAACTGGATAGTCCATCTGTGCTCAGGTCCTAAGAAACAATCCGATCCTCTGGTAGCCTGGTGTGACTCCCGAGGCTTCCCAGCGTTACAGGTAGATCTGCAGCAATCCGGTGGAAAGGGCTGGGATTTACTTCGACGATCGGGTGTTTGGAATGTGCTGCTTTGGGCTGCCTCTCAAGGAAAGATCGCGGGAGTGATGTCATCCCCACCGGAACACGATTCCCACCGGTCCCTGCACCTTCATGCCCAGGCCATGTTCGTGTGGTCCCTGGCTTCGACGGTTAAGGGGTTCGGGATCCCGTACGTTGCCGAGCACCTAGGCCTTCCTGAGGAGGTGAAGGGGGTGTTCGCAAGGTGGTCGGGCGTTAAGGATGTGTCCTTGTTCCAAGGTGCCCTAGGTGATGACTACTGCAGGCCCACAACCCTTGCAACCAATCTGGATATCTCTTATTTAGCTTCGTTCCCACCGCGGGGAAACACTGCGAGACCACCAGGTGGCCGTCAGTGGTCACATGCACTCCGTAGAGAGATTGCCAAGGCTCTCTCCGGAAGGCCTTCAATCCCTTCGTGTGAACAGCTTGATGAGGTGATTGCTAAGGGGTTGAGGTCATTGAAGACCCCTGCACCGTCCTCGAACATTGCAATGCCTTCCCTTACGGAGGTGGGTGAGGCTGATGGCGTCGGTGAGGGAGATCCCTGTGGTAAAGATGAAAATGAGGCACTCTTAAGGGCTTTTGAGGCAGAGAGTGTTATTGGAACGGATGAAGAAGATGACCTCCTTCCTCCCGACCTCATGAGTAGTGGCAATCCGGTAAAGGGGGATAAGAACGTAAGTTCAGCACCGGGGGAAGTGGTTCCTGATGATACCGAACCA